GAATATGCTCTGCAATTTTGGGCCCCTGTTCTAAAGAAAGATATCATGGCACTAGAAAAAGTGCAGAGACGAGCTACAAAATTGATCAAAGTAATGGAGCATTTTAGTTATGAAGAAAGTTTAAAAAATGTAAATCTCTTTAGTTTGGAAAAACAGCGCCTGAGAGGGGATATGATAACATTATACATATATATTTTGGGCCAGTACAAACCATTATCTGGAAATCTATTCATAAACAGGGCTATACATAGGACACGAGGTCACACATTTAGGCTTGAAGAAAGGAGATTTTATCTAAGGCAAAGAAAAGGGTTTTTTACAGTAAGAGCAAAAAGGATAAGGAATTTTTTGCCTGAAGAGGTGGTTTTGTCAGAGTCTATACAGATGTTTAAACTGCAATTGGATAAATACTTGCAAAAACATAACATACAGGGATATTATTTCTAATTAGTGGGGTAATAGCTGCTTGATCCAAGGAGACATCTGACTGCTATTTAGGGTTTAAGAAGGAATTTTTTCCTAGTTTGTGGCAAAATTGGAAGCGCTTCAGACTGGGTTTTTTTGCCTTCTTTTGGATCAACAGCAAAAACATATGTGAGGGAGGCTGAACTTGATGGACGCAAGTCTCATTTTTCTAATATGTGTTAAAGGAGTATGCCACGCACCATAACACTAGAATCTCTGTAATGATTACTGTACAGTAAGTAATAACACCATTAAAGAATGGTTGAAAACTTTAATGAAAGATCCTGCAAGGAGAGTCCAGTAGCTCCCAAGAGCTAAGCCATGGCATGAAGGACCAGTCCCAGGTAAGTTGTCAAAACATTCCTAAATGGTTTAGCTACTTGATGTAGGAGGTCACCAGAACACTCCTGGAACCATATCCACTACAGCAGGCTATTGTTGCTATGGTGCTCAGGGTGTTAATTTGAGCAAAAGTTAGGAAAGGAACTTACTTAGTAAAGTACTAGTTAATAGTTATATAGTTACATAGCTGAAAAGAGACTTGCGTCCATCAAATTCAGCCTTCCTCACATTTGTTTTTTGCTGTTGATCCAAAAGAAAGCAAAAAACCCCAGTTTTCAAGCACAATTTTGCAACAAGTTAGGAAAAAAAAATCCTTCTTGACCCCAGAATGGCAGTCAGATTTATCCTTGGATCAAGCAGTTATTACCCTAAATTCAAAGATTATATCCATGAATATTCTGTTTTTGCAAGTATGCATCTAGTAGCTGTTTGACCATCTGTATGGACTCTGATAAAACCACTTCTTCAGGCAGAGAATTCCACATCCTGGTTGTTCTTACAGTAAAAAACCTTGTCTTAGACAAAATCTTCTTTCTTCCAGTCTAAACACGTGGCCACATGTCCTATGTGAAGTCCGGTTTGTGAATAGATTTCCACACAATGGTTTGTATTGGCCCAGAATATATTTGTATAATGTTATCATATCCCCTCTCAGGCAACGTTTTTCTAAACTAAATAGGTTTAAATTTGTTAACCTTTCTTCATAGCTGGTATGTTCCATTCCTTTTATTAATTTTGTAACCCGCCTCTGCACTTTTTCTAGTGCCATAATATCCTTTTTTAGAACAGGTGCCCAAAATTGCACAGCATATTCAATATGGGGTCTTACCAGTGATTTATAAAGAGGCAAAATGATATTCTTGTCCCGAGAATGAATGCCCTTTTTCATGCATGACAATACCTTACTGGCCTTGGCCACTGCTGATTTACATTGTACATTGTTGCATAGTTTGTTGTCTATAACAATTCCCAAGTCCTTTTCATGTGTTGTTATCCCTAATTCGCTTCCATTAAGGGTATACGTTGCTTGTGTATTCTTTACGCCAAAGTGCATAACTTTGCATTTTTCAACATTAAATTCAATCTGCCATTTGAGTGCCCAGTCCTCCAGTCTATCTAAATCCCTCTGCAGAAAAGTAATATCTTGCTCACATTGTATTATTTTACAAAGTTTTGTGTCATCAGCAAACACTGAAACATGACTTTCAATGCTGTCTTCAAGATCATTTATAAATATGTTAAATAGAAGGGATCCCAGAACAGACCCCTGAGGGACATCACTTGCCACCTCTGTCCAGCTTGAAAATTTACCATAAATGACAACTCTTTGAACTCTGTTTTTAAGCCAATGTTCTACCCAAGAACAAGCATTTTCATCTAGACCGATTTCCTTGAGTTTGAACACTAAGGGTATACGTTGCTTGTGTATTCTTTACGCCAAAGTGCATAACTTTGCATTTTTCAACATTAAATTCAATCTGCCATTTGAGTGCCCAGTCCTCCAGTCTATCTAAATCCCTCTGCAGCAAAGTAATATCTTGCTCACATTGTATTATTTTACAAAGTTTTGTGTCATCTGCAAACACTGAAACATGTCTTTCAATGCTGTCTTCAAGATCATTTATAAATATGTTAAATAGAAGGGGTCCCAGAACAGACCCATGAGGGACACCACTTGCCACCTCTGTCCAGCTTGAAAATTTACCATAAATGACAACTCTTTGTACTCTGTTTTTAAGCCAATGTTCTACCCAAGAACAAGCATTTTCATCTAGACCGATTTCCTTGAGTTTGAACACTAATCTATTGTGTGGAACTGTATCAAATGCCTTGGCAAAATACAAATAGATCACATCCACTGCAACACCCTGATCTATACTTCTACTTACTTCTTCGTAGAACGCAATCAAGTTAGTTTGACATAACCTGTGCTTCATAAAACCGTGCTGATGTTTGCTGATAACCGTGTTCTTCTCAAGGAATTCTTGAATATTATCCTTTAGTAACCTTTAAAATATTTTACCAGACACAGAAGTTAAGCTCACAGGTCTATAATTTCCAGGAAAGGATTTTGAACCCTTTTTGAATATAGGAACCACATCTGCCTTCCTCCAATCCTCCGGAACACTTCCTGAAAGAAAAGAATCTTGAAAGATTAAAAACAGAGGTTCACTTATTTCTACACTTAGTTCCTTAAGTACACGTGGATGGATACCGTCAGGCTTTGTTTATATTAACTTTCTTTAGTTGCTGCAGCACCTTGTCTTGAGTTAACCAATTACAATTATTCTGCAAGTTTTTAGTAGCAATCATTTGCACATCTATTGCCATGGGTTCTTCCTTAACATATACGGAGAAGAAATAGTTATTTAAAATTCCTGACTTTTGCTGGTCTTCATTAACTAACACCCCTGTTTCAGTTTTTAGTGTACCTACACTTTCATTTTAGTTTTTTTTAGAATTTATGTACTTAAAAAATGCGTTTTGGTTGGTTTTGCTCTCTTCAGCTATCATTTTTTCATTTTGAAGTTTAGCAAGTCTAATTGCCTTTTTGAACGCATTATTTGCTTCCTTTTTTATAAGATGCATCTGATTTGTCCGATTTAAATGCTTTAAATGCCCTTTTCTTATTTTTAATCTCTTGTTTTACTTCTCTACTAAGCTATATTGGTTTTAATTTGTTTCCCAATGGTACATACTGAGAAATGTACCTTTCTAATATTTGTTGGAAGATGATCCATTTATCCTCAGTGTTCTTTTCACTAAAGAGTTTATGCCAGTCAATATATTGTAAAGCTTCCCTTAACTTATTGAAATTGGCCTTTTTAAAATTATATGTTTTAGTATACCCCATGTGCTTTTGTTTTTTTGAGTTTATTTCAAAGGACACTATATTGTGATCACTATTTCCCAAGTGCTCACCTACTTGAATGTTGGTCAAAAGATCAACGTTGTTTGTTAAAACCAGGTCCAGACAAGCGTCCATTCTAGTTGGTGCTTGTACAAGTTGTGACATGAAGGTGTCATTTAACAAGTTTAAAAACCTAATTCCCTTTGCTGAGCTACTAGTCCCTCTGTCCCAATTTATGTCCATGTAATTAAAATATCCAATAATTAAAGTGTTACCCAGATTTGCAGCTTTCTCAATTTGCTCAAACAGCTGTTGTTCCTCGTCAATATTAACAGTAGGTGGTCTATAACATATCCCAACCAATAGTTGGTTTCCCTTCTTTTCACCCAAGCAGATATTTACCCATAAAGCTTCCACATTTTCCTCATAGCATACCATTTGCTTAAGATTTGGCTTTAAATCATGGTTTACATACAAACATACCCCACAACCCTTCTTGTTTTTCCTATCCTTTCTAAATAACATGTACCCATTTTAACTGCCCAGTCATGTGTCTCATCCCACCATGTTTTAGTTATGCCTATTATATCATATTGTTTAGTGTATGCTAATGCCTCTAGTTCCCCCATTTTGTTATTTAGGCTCCTTGCATTAGTAAGCATACATTTAATATTATGCGTCACTTGTATATTTTGTGAATTATCAACATTACATAGCTTCTCTGTTCTGAGCTTGCCCCTCCCCCATCTCCACCCACCTTATACTGTGCTAAAGCCCATCTCCTTTCTGTCCCATCTCCATTTTGTAGATTGCTATGACCCTCCCCCCCTACT